ATGGGGGCTCGATCCCAGGACCCTGAGATCATGACCTGAGCCGAAGGCAGAGGCTTGACCCACTGAGCCACCCAGGCGCCCCTGCCTGGGGCTTTCTACCCACGCACTCGCGTCAGCTTCTCACTGAGGCTGGGGAGCAGATGCTGTGATCCTCATTTCAGACTAGGAACTTGAGAATCAGAAGCTGGTGATCGCAGAGCTGAGACTCAGACTGAAGCCTTTGAGAGCAAAGCCGTAGCCGCTCTTCTCACGCGCGTAGCTTGCTTATTCGGACGGGCTCCGTCCTTTCCAGCCCCCCCCACCTTACTTACACCGTACACGCTGGACACTGCGCGAGGCTAATGGGAAGAACATACCAGCAAACCGGTCACTCTCAAACAGCGTCGTGAGTCAGGGCCCAGCTGGCAGCGGGCGGCTGGACAGGAGCCGTGGGAGGCAGGCGGGGCCTTCGGCAAAACGAGGGCACAGGACGCTCTATACAGACAGCCGGTCCTGCCTTCCCACTCTTTCAGTTCGACTTGTACGGGAAATCTCCAAACCTTTACATGTAGGCAACTTTGGCAGGTACTGGTTATCGTCTAACTTCCAACCAGTATCTGCCTTAAAACTTATGTCCTGTCCCCGGCCCCCAACTTCTCAGAAGGGATCACTTATCCTTTATTTCAGGAAGACAACCCCATGGTATAAATCTTAATTGGCTCAAAGCAGTCCTACTTGTCTCCCTCCCTTGGCCAGTGATTGGTCTCAGGGTGAGCGGATGACCCAGTTCTAACACAGGAGAGTTAAGGGAAGGACTGGTGAAGAGATCCTCCTTTCCTCAGTGAAAAGATTAAAGCCTTGAAACTCGATGAGCAAGGATCGTTTGGCCTACTGCCCCTTGCCCCCATTCCCACCAACACAGTCATAGACTCCGGAATAGCCGCAGCCATTCTGGAGCCATGAGGTAACGAGCACAAGGCCTAAAACCAATGTGCCAGGACAAAGCAGAAAGACAAAAAGATCCCGTGTCCTCACTGCACCAGCTCGAGCAGGGGCCATGACCGCTTTTTACAAAAGTCCCACCAAGGGAGCTCTGATGTCACCAGAGGGTGGTAGCTGGAAGGGGAGAGTAAGTGGCGTGTCCAAGTAGGGCATCCTGCTCCTTGTTTACTAAGGTCCTCCTTTGGTGAGCACTCACCTGGGCCCCACGTCCCCTCGCAGCTCCCCCAACTCGGGGCCCATCTACAAACTCCTTCCCCAGACTTTCCTGCCAAGTTCCCAATGTTGCTCTTCCATGCTCCTTGGCCACCAGTTGGACTGGGAGCGGCCAGCCCTGAGCTGGCGTCGACCCTGCACTCTGGTTTTCTCTCCATCCAGGCTGGTGCGCCTTGGGGAGAACTCCTCGCCTCCACTGGCAGAGCGGGGGTTCTGCTGCTGCGTTCCCGTTCTGTCGACGTGGTCTGTCTTCCCTCCTCTCCTGCAGAGAACCCAGGACCACAGTCGTGGGGATTGGGCAGAGGGGATGGAGAGGAGGTGCTGTGGGTGCCCGAGCCGCCTGCTGGGGTGCCTCCCTCGTGCTCCTGGGCCGTGCTCAATGGCGACAGGCTTCCACCTCCCCTGCACAGTGGAGTGTGGCACGTGGTGGGGTGGGTCACGTCGCACCCAGCTCAGGTCTCCTACTCCAGCGTTCGGCCTCCGCCACGGTCCCATCGGAAGCTACTGCTCAGATGGGGACTAGTTCCTCGGAAAAGATACAGTTCTGCTTCAACCCCTGGTGTCTGTGCTGTGCCTGTTACTAGGACCTGCCAGACGGCCAGAGCAGCGCTGAAGTGCTTCATGACAAGTGCCACCAGCACAGGACACGTCTGTTCTCACCCCATCAGGCCATTACCGGCTGCTGGTGTGCATACACTGGACCAGGATCCCTGGAAAGTCAGCTCTACTGAAGAACTCAGCCCCGTCCCACAGGATGCTCTGTCCCCTTGGACGGACACCACTTGAAGCCCCAAGTATCTGCTGATAAAAAATGCACAAATGCCCCCCATTCTTTCACTGTGTGGTTGTCTCCTCAGAGTCTGCAATTGTCCCCTGCATGCTGGGATCAGACTCGCTACGACTGGAGCTCGTGAGGCGCTAGTCCAGAGAGGACCCAGCATCTCCTTGCCAGGTGAGCAGCTTGAACAAGCTCATTAACAGGACTCCAGGCAGGCAAACAGTCTCTACAGGCAGGGGCTACTTCTACCCACAAACAGGTTCAGAGGGAGAGGGTTAGAGGTATGCTTGTATCCTCCCAACTGTCTCTACTTCTCAGGACCCCACTCTCCCCAGGCAACAGCCTACTTCACAGACAAGACCTGTGAATTCAACTTACGTAGTAATTATGCATCAGAAAGAATCAAAGGTGGGTCCGATCTTTAGCCCACCAGCTGAGGCTACGAAAGTAAGGACTCCTAGGACCACCACAGGAGCTGGCGTGCTCTTCAGGCTTGATCTGAGTCTAAGGCTTTCGGTTTGCTTTCTGTGCGCTCTCCAGGGCAATCTGCAGCCAGTCTATCCCCCAGACCCCATCCCCACCATGATGGTCGCTTGGGGCCACCTTGCCTTCCCTGAGCACTCACTCCGTCTAGGCAACAACAGGGGACAAGTGAAGTAACTGTTTTCCCCGGCTGGGCTGCCTGTGAGGTCACCTCCGTACCAGCACCACCCATTCGCAAGACTGGCCCTCGGCTCTCGATTCCCACTGACCTTGGTTGGTTTCCTAGAACCAAGTACACAGTGCCCAACGTTCAATTAGGAGAGCAGACGCTTCCTAAGGTATTTCAGAGAGGGGCCTGCAGGGTGATGGGGGTGCTGCAGGTGGGAGCAAGGGTCTCCAGGAGAGCAGGGGAAGGAGACACTACCCCTGAGGACCCCGTGAATTCCCAAGGGCGCCGACACTGAGCAAAACCCCAGGGTGAGGCCGCTGAAACCCCCAGCTGTGCACGGACGTTCACTGCGGCCGCCTACGGTCCCAGCCTGCGGCCGGTGCTGGTCTCCGAGCCGGGGCCTCCTCCCTGCCTTCCACTGCAGTCTCTCACCGTGTCTCCTGCAGGCCGAACCCAGCCAGAAGCCAGCTGGCAGGGGCCTCTGGGAAGTGTAGGCAACTGCTTTCTAGCGCCCTGGGATGCAGACACAGGCGGCACCAAGAAACAATGAGCCTGTGCAGCGGTGTCAGAAATGACGGGCATTGGGGCACCTGGACAGCGGTCAGTGGCGTGTGCGACTCTTGGGTCTTGGGGTCGTGAGTTCAAACCCCATACTGGGTATAGAGATTACTTAAAATTTTTTAAAATTTTTATTTATTTAAAGATTTTATTTATTTGAGAGAGACAGAAAACAAGCAGAGGAGCAACAGAGGGAGACGGAGCAGCAGACTCCCCAAGACGCAAGGAGCCTGACGTGGGACTTGATGCCACCACCCAGGGATCAGGACCTGAGCCGAAGGCAGATGCTTCACCGACTGAGCCACCCAGATGCCCTGAGATTACTTAAAATCTTAAAGGGAATCTTAAAAAAAAAAAGAGAAGCATGCCTTTCGAGATGCTGTGAAGATAAAGGAGACGGTGCGGTGGGTGTCCACGGAGCAGCTCCTTGCCCATCCTGGGAACGTCAAGGGCTTTCCCACTCACAAAGGACAGGAGCTCCTGGGACCAAGAGCTGAACCCTGAGGCTGAGGCTGTGCCTCCTGCCTCCATGCAGCTCAGGGCAGGGTGTCAGTCATCACTTGGCAACTGGCCGCCCTGTATGTGGGATCTACTCGTCCCTCCACTCTGATGGCTTCCTAACACGCTCCAAACGGAAGCCACAGCTTTCACGTGCCTGCCTGAGCACTTCCCACCGACCCCGCCGACCCCATCTCCCGCACACTCAGCCTCACCCACAAAGCTCCGACCACGCTGGCCTTTCGGTTCCTCCACTTTGCCCAGGGAGTCTCCCCGCTCCGGCATCCTTCCCACAGGGTGTCCCGTTGAGAACGCTCATCCCAGGCTTTCTGCACGGGGCTGTTCCCCTCTCCAGACTGGAGCTGGAGTAGCACTTCTCAGAGAGGCTACCCACCACTCGCACTTCCTGTAGGACACGTCCCTGTTTATTCTCCTGTCTCCCTCGCACCTGAAAGTCAGCTGAGAGAGCAGGGACCAGAGCTGTCGGGCTCACTGGCTGTACCTGTGTGTCCAGCAGTGCCTGATGTGTATCTGGGCCATGACCCCCGGTGACAGTGGTAAGGCAACACCGTCCTTGCAGTCTTCGCCTTCCCCTTGTGATGGCACAGCACACGGCAGGTACTGAACTCACAGGGTCACGATAGCTGAAGGAGATGTGAAAACTTTCTGAACACCCCAAACGCCAGTCATCTGGGCCATGTGTGTGACCTCTGGTCTTGGGTCCCCTCTTCAGAAGAACAAAGAGCAGTAATTTTCAAAACTTACTAAGCTTGTACAAACGTGCTGTACATGTTTTATATTTTGTAATCATCACCCAAGTGATGAAAGACTGAAATCACAAAGGTTAAACAAGATAGACTTTGAGTTTTCTGGACTCTTTTTATATAAACTTTTTTTTTTTTTTTTTAAGGTAGGGCTCCATGCCCAATGCAAGGCTTGAACTCACAACCCCAAGACCAATGGTCACCTGCTCTACCCTCAGGCGGGCCAGGCGCCCCCTTTCACATGAACTTTGAAGTCGAAGTGGATTTGGGGGTGCGAAGACCTTGCCGCAGGAGCACTGAAACCTTACACGGTAACCCAGGCTTCTCGAGATGCTGAGCGGTTCGCCACTGACCTGGGAGGAGTATGACCAGGGTCTGACTCGTGTCCCTGCAATTAACACTGAAGCTGCTCCAAACCTCCGCAAAGGCGCTTCTCAGCGCGCCCCAGCTCAGTACACGGCAGGGCCACCTTTCACTCTGTCTTCAAACGAGGCCCCCAACCCTACTCTCTCCCACCGCCTCACTCTAGCCTAACCCCCCATGCCCTCTGGCCCAGCAACAGCCTCTCGCCGTGCTCTGCCTCCAGTGCTGCCCCGCTACAGTCCGCTCTCGCGCAGCACCTCCAGCACTCCCGGTAACACCTAAGTGGGGCCTCCCGACTCTCCCCAGGGCTGGATTCACCTGGGGAGAGCTCCGGGATCACGATGCCTGCCGGGCCGCCCCCTCCCCCTCTCTTTTCCAGCTCACCTCGCCTCAGCCGCACTGCGTGCCACACCCGCCCCCAAGCAAGGGCGCTGTTACGCAGGGCTGGAACGCCGCCCCCGAGAGCCAAACCCGAGCCGAGCTGAGGACGCCCACCCACTGGGCCACCGCGGGCTCCCGGCGCACCCGGATCTTACTCACTACCTCCAGCCCTCCGACGGTCCGGGGCTGCGCACGGCCGGCGACCGGAGGGATCCCGGGCAGCCCTCCCCCGTGCCCTCTTCCGACCGCTTCCCTTAGCGCACCAGCCGGCAGCGGCTAGGCCGCGACCGCTGTCCCCCGGCCGCACACGGGGCTCCCCGCGCCGCTCCAGCCGTGGGCCCGTGCGGCGCGGTCCCCCCACCGCTCTGGCCGCGACGCTCCCCGCACGCGGGCAGGCCCCCGCCCGCCCCCTCCGGAGCCCCCGCGCCCCGGCCCCGCACGGCGCAGGCTGCCGGCGGGAAGGCCGCTCGCGGCCCTCTGCAGCACCGCCCCGCCGGCCGCCCTTCGGCGCGCGGCATGTCGGGGCTTGTAGTCCGGCCCCGGAAGGGCGGCCGCCCGCCCCCGCCGCCGCGCCTCCCCGACACTACAACTCCCACGGGGCAGCGGGACGCCGCTCCCGCACACTCCGGGCCGGCCGGCCGCCTGCCTGCCTCGCGGCGGGTCCGGCGGCCGCCGCGGGGCGGGGCGCGAAGATGGCGGACGCGGTCGCGGGCCGGGACAAGTGCGGGGAGCCGCGGCTCGTGTCGCTGCCCCTGTCCCGCATCCGGGTCATCATGAAGAGCTCCCCCGAGGTGTCCAGCATCAACCAGGAGGCGCTGGTGCTCACGGCCAAGGCCACGGTGAGGCGGGCGGCGCGGGGAGGACGGGGGGGGTGGGCCGGGGGCCGCCCGGAACCGTCGCTCCCCGCCCTGCCCCCCGGGCTTCGCCGAGCCGCCGGTGCCCCCCTCGGCCCGCGCGCCGCCGGCCGCCCCCGCGGGATCGCGGTGCGCGCGCCCTCCACGACGGGCCCGGGTCCCCTCCCCCGGCGCGCGCGCCCTCCGCCCCGCCCTCCGCAAGCCGCTCCCGCCCTCCCCCGCGCGCCTTCCGCCCCGCCCACCGCCCGCTCCCGTCCGCCTTCGCGCGCCTCTGGCTTACCCACCTGTCTCTCTCTGCGGCGCTGGCTTCGCCCCGCGCAGCTCCCGTCCTCCCTTGCGCGTCCTCCGTCCCGCCCACCGCGCCGTTCCCGCCGTCCCTCGCGCCAGGCTCGCGTGGCTGCGCGGGCTGGCCCCGGTTTCCCGCGACGTCTCCTCCCGGCGTGTCAGCAAAGCCGGGGCCGGAAAGCGTGGCCCAGGGCTCACGGCGAGGGCTCCGGGGGTACCGCCCGGCCCGCCGCTCGCGCCCCGTCCCCGCAGCGGAGCGCGGCGTCCCCCGGTACTTTCAGGGCCTCCTGGGTGCGCCCAGAGCCGGCGGGGCGGTTCGGTCTGGGGCGGGGGCCGGGCCCCTGCGGGATCGCCCTAGGCCGTCGGAGCTGCGGCCGTGGACGCACAGCCCGCCCTTGGACGCCGCCCTGCGCCGCTGGGCCGTTTCCCTGCGAGGGGGCGGGCGGGCCTCGCGTGATTCCGCCCGGAGCCGCCTTTTTATTTCATTGTCACGGGTTTAGGGTAGAATCCAGTGACTCAGCAGTCGGGGGTAACACGCAGTGCCCCTAAGTGACGGCCCTCTGGGAGGCGCGTGGGCCGTCCCCGGGGCCGGACGGGGCGGGCTTCCCGTCGCAGGTGGCCCGGGGGTGCCCGGGCTCCCTGTGCCCGCACGTCGCACTTACCGGACTGGCGAGGGTCCCGGCGCGGGCTGGGGCGCCCGGAAACCGCGGTCAGTTCCCGGTCTCGGTGCTCGGCTGTTGCGCGCAGCCCCTCGGCGCAGCGCGGTTAGACAGACCGGGGAGACGCGTTCCCGACCCGAGAACTTCTGAACGCTCTTCTGCTCCTTTAAAACAACTGTGGTTAAACATTTATAATTCCTCTTGAGTGACCTTTAAATGTCCTCCTCAGATCAGGAATCTCAAGTAACGTTAGGGAAATGCCCGCTTCCTGCCAACTCGGATGCAGCCTTGCTTTCTTTCCGACCTGTTCCCTTCCCCACTGACCCCCGGAGTTCGAAGCCGCAGTCCTCTGCGGTCAGCTCGTCTTAACCGAATTCAGCGAGTCGCGTTCTGCCTAAGTTCCCGAAGCATCCCTGCCTTCTCGTTCACTGTGTTTAGGAGCTCTTCGTGCAGCACCTCGCCGCCTGCTCCTACCGACGCGGCAGCGGGCGGGAGAGGAAGGCCCTCACCTACACCGATCTGTCCAAGACCGCGGAGGAGTTGGAGACTTTCCAGTTTCTCGCAGGTACGCAGTCTTTGCTACATTCTGGTTAAAACGCTCACAGGGTCATTTACAGCCGTCTTCCCCCTTTTCCCCTGCTGTCACTGAAAGACTTTCCCCCCACCCCTGCTTTCTCTGGGTGTCGAAGCTTACCGTGAGCGGGCACGGAAGACAGTTTTAGTTTTGTCAGAGTGTGTGTGCAGTGCGGGTCACCTAGGATGGCGATGAAGCCAACACCTGCACAAGGACGTTCCGCTGGTGGGGGGCTGGGTGAGCCCGGCATACCCACCCCCAGACCCCTTACCACTGAAGGGAAAACTCTGGGCTGGTCTGCTTGGCCTGGGAAACAGAGACTAGTAGTTGTTGTGGACAAGCTGTGTGGGCCACAGCTGGGAGGAGCCTAAATCTGCCCCTGGGCCCAGTGGGCTTGTCTCGGGTAGGTTGAGGCGACTCGCTCAGTCCACACCAGCACATCCAGGACGCGTGGTTTGCAGTCCGTGGAGGGAAACAGGTCTTCAGCATTGGTCAGGAGGCAGTGCTCGTTTCCTGCTGTTTCACCCAGAAGTGTGGTCAGAATTTTGTCTTGTTTTGGAACCTATTCCAGAGCTCAAAGGAGGAACTAGCACTTTTTGAAATTTGCATTGCTGTGTTCGTGGTCTGCGGAAACCAGTTGCTGATGTTAGCTTTATGTTTTTAAGATATATTACCAAAGAAGATTCTAGCTAGTAAATATCTGAAAATGCTTAAAGAGAAGAGGGACGAGGACGAGGAGGAGAATGACAGCGGTGATGGGAATGACGGGGACGAAGCAGAATCCTAGACCAAACAGGAGGTGCTCGAGAAATCAGCCTGCCGAGGACCTCCTGGATTAGCAGCGCAGCGTGGAAGCAAGCACAACGCTGTGTGACCTCAGACACCTGACTTCCCAGAGACTTCAAGTACATTGGGTTCCTTCCTGGCTAAGATAGAGCACCTGATGTGCCCACACCATGAACGGCCAGAAGGAAGGTGGCCCAGACAGCAGCCTCTCTCTGAGGGGCCCTCGCTGCAGTTCCGGCGCAGGGGGACATCGAGAGAGCTGCCTGTACACCCAGGCCCTAACCGCTGATCTAACGCAGCTGTGAGCTGTAGAGACAGACAATTTTGCTTCTCCTTTTAATTTACGGATAGATTTTGAAGAGCTTCTAGAGACCGGTTGTGTAAATTCATAGATGTATATTTGGAAATCCTTGTAAACAACCAGATGTAGTTTGAGCTAAATACATAGTTTACGCGTGATACAGTACATTTGAAAATTTGACAATTTGTTCAAATACTGCAATTTTATTAACTGTAAAGAAATTTCGTTATTAGAAGCTGTTGTTTTATAGTAAATGCTTTGTGGAACTAGTTTTAGAGCTCTGTTGTTCTGATGTCTTATTACCTGAGATTTCTGCAAAATTTAAAAATAAGCATTTCTAGCACTTATTCCCAGAGGAGAAAAAAAATCATAATTAAATACAAAAAGAAATACTACCTTTGAATAAGCATATTTTTTTATTAATATATAGTGTATTATTTGTTTCAGGGGTACAGGTCTGTGAATCATCAGTCTTACACAATTCATATTTTTCTTAAAAACATTTTAAAACATTTTGTATATTGAAAATCTCTCGGGGCACCTGGGCGGCTGTCGGTTAAGCATCTGCCTTCAGCTCAGGTCATGATCCTGGGGTCCTGGGGTTGAGCTTTTGTTGGGTTCCCTGCTGTCTGCTTCTCCCTCCCCCTCTCCCTCTGCCCCTGCTCTCTCTCAAGTAAGTAAATAAAATCTTAAAAAAACAAAAACCAAAAACCTCTCTTTTTACTCTTCTTTTCTTTATAACCAAAGTAACTGTCTTTACTGTTCACAAGAGGAAACTTGTGAGAAAACTTTTTTTTTTCTACACAGAATAAATTTTTGGCTCTTGCTCTTGAGTCTCTCTCTCTTTTAGAAGACTTGAGTTACAGTTTTACATCTAGTAAAAATCATCCTTTAGTGTCTGTTCTGTTGGTATGTAAGTATCGATGTATGGGACAGTTCTGTCACCCCGATATCTCCCTGTCCCTCCAGAGTCCCTTCCCTTATCCCCAGGCAACCACTGTCATTTCTGTTCCTCTTGTTTTTACATGTTTAAATTTTTAAAAAACCCACACTTTGATGCAGAGTTTTGAGCTTTGACAGATGCAGAGTTGTGTAAACACCGCAAGGCTCAGCGGTTGTATGGCCTCCCCTCAAATTCCCTCCCGGTCATACTCCAGCCCTTCACCTGGGCAACCACTGAGCTATTCTTTACCCATATAGAAGTTGACAGACTTTTTCTGGAAAGGGTCACGGAGAAAACATTGTAAGATGTGTGGGCTGTCTAGCCTGTCAAAGCTGTGAACTGTGGCACTGTAGCAGACAAGCTGCGTACGGAAGGGCGGGAGTACGGCTGCATGTCAATGAGGCTTCAGTTCTGGATGCTGAAATTTGGATCCTAGCATCTTCAGGGATCATGAAATACTCTTTTGATCTTGAAACACTTAAGAATGTAAAAGCCATTCTTAAGCTTACAGGCCGTACGGAAAGGCAGTGAGTGGGCTGGCCCTGGCTCCCAGACTGGTTTGCTGACCCGCCTTTCCCATGTCATGTAAGTGGAACTCGGTATAGCTTTTGTTTGGTGACACATAACGCCAGGGAGATTCGCGTTACTGCAGGCCGCACTCCTTACTGCTGAGTAGGCTCCCATGGTACGGCTTTAGAGAAGTGTGTTTCTCCCACTATAATCGACAAATAATTGACAAATAATTCCCACTTTGGGTTTCCAGTGTTGATGATCACAGATAAAGCCCTAGAAACATTCGTGTACAGGTTTTGTGTGAAGAGAGGATGTCCACTTCGACATGCTTGAGTATATGCTT